ATTTTTTAGGGGAAAGCGTTCATAAAAATGAGCATATTCATGAAAACCACATCCAATATGCACTACATGGCTGGCAAAAAGGTGTAAACGAGTCAGAACTGCATTAAAAATGTGTTTATTATGAGAAAATGGGACTAAAATGCTTGTGAATTCTCATGAAGATTTTTTTAAAGAAATAATAATAATATTACAAATTTCTGTAGAAATGTAGAGAACTGGATTTAGGTTTGGGAAAATGGAGAAACAGAGAGCTGAAAATGAGAAGGTCCATTTCTTCCTTCCGGTAGGTCCATCCATCTCAAGTGGAGTTAGCACTGGGATTTTCCCATTTAACACCCTTGTAATACAGCCACAAATTATTCTCCCTGCCCCCAGTCAGATCGTTTTCAAGGGGAAAGAATTGGGCTGGATGCATCAGTCAGTTTCTTCTGTGCCCCTTTTGCACACGCTGGCCAAGAAATCAATTTCTGCCTTAATCCGTGATTTTTCTTTATACAAAAATCTACTTTAAAACATGTGTTTTAAATGTGCGTTTTTAAAAATCACGGATTATTTAATGAATACAAACTTCACACACACACCATACAAACTCCAAATGATAATGCACATATTAGTAAGAATATCATATAAAGCAGCACACCATGTTATTTAAGCCTTCCAGTATTCCCACAGGATCTTAAATGCAAAACCTTTGACATCACATTTCATAATTACCTTGACAAAATGTATGTTATGTATCAATCTACTTTTCTCAAAGAAATACACAAATCAAGGTGTTGTCTTGCAATTATTAATTAGACGTAACTGCCGGGGCGGGTGAGTGTCTTGTTTTGTTGTTTGCTTTTGTTATTCACTTTTCAAAGTATATGCAAAATGAATCCTTGAATTTTCTTAATGCATTTTTAGTTATATTCTCGGGTTGCAAACTCCCTTGAGTGCAGCAATGTAAAAAGGCGGCACACATTTTTAAAAATATGTAATATAGCAAAATTGAACCTCTCAGTTTAGGGGCAGTATATCTCAGACTTCCAGAAACCAAGGGCCAACAATTCAAGAGTGCTATTGCCAGCTCGCTCCGCTGTTGAGCTTCCATGTGACAAGCATTTTGCTGGTCCCTGGCAGAGACATGTTGCTAGGTGAGATATTTGGACCCCAAAGTGGCTTGTAATAATGGACGGTTTCCACTGAAGCTGCATCCAAGGGATCTCAAAAACAGTTTAGAAACAAGCAAGCGAAATTGTTAAACATGCACTGGGGGAAACCGAGAGAGCTCCATCTTTATCAGTGCCTATGCTGAACACATGTGTTGGAATTTAAGATCAAATGCCAACTTTCAGAGGCTCGGGGGTGTTTTTTTAACACCTTCTTAAGGAACAGTTTAAAGAAACATATCTAGCAGAGTGGGAGACACAAGGAGTGTTAGCTGAGCGTCTTGCTGGCGGCAACTCGCTGACTAACAAATATTCTTGGGGGATATAAAGGAAAAGGCAGCTTGTATGTGATATCAGCCACTCTAGGCCTCTGGGCATCAGTAGTCTGTGGCAGGCAGCCGGGCTGTGAACTGCTCTCCCTATGCTCCATCTGCATCCTGCTCTCCCTTTCTGACTGGCTCATGGAATAGTAATCCTGCGCCACTGAACACTGGCTTCAGAAGAACCACAGTGGGAGAGGGCGATTGCCTTTGCACCTGCCTGTGGGCTTCCTGGAAGCATCTGATCGGCAGGTATGGGGGAACAAAGGTAGGTGGGAAGGCAGCTGGCTTTGGGAAGGAAGCACAAGGGTTCTGGCAGGGTCCTAGAGCCTCCCACCTCCTTCCCAAAGGTGGGAAAGTGCTAACTAAGCTTTGGGAAGGAGATGGTGGGGATGAGTCTAGGACCCTGTTGAGCCTCATGCCTCCTTCCTAAAGCCCAGTGCCTTGCTTACCTGCCCCCTTGGCTCAGTGGGAAAACCTGTTGAAATAAACTCAGTGTAGAGCCATCAGTTTTCTTGTGTTTATTTCAACTCATAGTAAAAACAGTCAGTCATCCAAAACAGTTGGCTGAAAATGCCCCAACAAGTTAGAACCAAACCAGGCACTCACCAGAATCTAGTGCTCTGGGTGGTTCTTCCAGTATGGCATGCTAGGCAAGCACACAGTCATCCTGATGCCAACATGGCCAGGGATTTGGTGAGCATCTGAATGGGGCGGCAGTTCAGAATGTTAGCTCCCTGCCTCTCAGCCAGGCCAGCCTCAACTGAAGTCAGGCCCCAGCTGCTTTGTATTCCAACCTGAGAAATTCTGAATTTTAGTAACATCACTAGTCTGGACACACAAGGCAAACACTACTGCCTTAGCCTGGGGTTGGGGAATCATTTGCAGCCCAAGGGCCAAATTCCTTTCTGGGATACCTTCCAGAGGCCATATGCTAGCATTGGTTGGGGCCAGAGGCAAAAGCAGGAGGCACAGGACATGCAGATTCTATTTCTGTACAGGAGGCTCGTTTCTACACACACAGACACTCACACAAAAGACATCTCTAGTGTTCAGGGACACTTTCCAGCCAAGCAAAAGCACTCAAGGCTGAAAAAGTAGGTCCAATAGATGGTGTGGCTGGGAGAGTTCTGGGGGCCAGGCAGAGAAGCCTGAGCATCATATTTGGCCCCTAGGCCTGACGTTCTCCACCCCTGTGGCTGTTGTTAATCTTCTCCCCCAGAGGAGAATGTCAGAGTAAATTGTTGTTTTTTTAAGATGTTTCCCTTTAAGGCACAGATGCCCAGGAAATGCAAATTCCCCTTTGTGTTTTTGCTAAAGAAAAGGATAAATTATATATCAAATGGGTATGTCGTAGTTCTCGGTGTCTATGAGGAGTTGAGACGAATTAAACAATCTTGCTTTGTAAAGGACCCCAGGCTAGATTCCGGCAGAAATTCCACAGGGGGGAGTACTTCATCTGGCAAGTCTCTTACATCCATCCTCAAAGCGATTTTCAGATTTTCAGCCCTTGCTGAGCTGTGCATCAAGGGATTCCCTGTCTGAGGCTAGTAAGTAGGAACTACCGTTCACTGCACATTGTTTCAACACATGCATGGCAAAACATATGCCCATGTTTTCTTGTACACCAGCTGGTCCATGTATGTTCTGAAAAAGACAGCTTTTGTGTATATGTTAAAGATGAGAGTGATCACCATCTGGTAGGTACAAGGAAACAAGTTACTGCAGTAGGAAACCTTATCCCAGGCGTAGGAACCTTTCTCAGCCTGAGGGCCACATGCTCTTCTAAACAACTTTCTAGGGGCCAAATGCCAGCCAGGAAGGGGGCAGGAAGCAAAAGTAGGTGGTGAAACAGGTGTAAATTTTCCCTTTGTACAGCAGGCTGGCTTACATAAACACACACAAAACACACACCTTTCTACTCTTCTCTATCCAAACAAGCAAGATGCATTATCAGAGTTCAATGACAGCCTTTGTGAGTGTCCGTAGAAACCAGCCTATTGTACAATAGCAAAACACACATACACACATTCTGAATTTTGAAGGATGCCATTGTGTTTCAAGCTGCAAATTGTTTTCAGAAAGTGCAGATTGGTTAGGCTCACCTTTCCATGCAAACTGAATCAAATTTATACACGGAAGTCCCCCAGCCATATGCATAGCTGTCAAGTGTCCCTTATTTGGCGGGACAGTCCCTTATGCCAGCGCCATGTCCCGCTGCTGTCCCTTATTGATGATGTCCCTTAAATAAGCTACTGAAGGTAATGGGGCCCTTTCTATGTCCAGCTGTCCTTTGACAACAACAAATTGTTGCTTTTTTGTGTTGAATATATGCTATATGGTAATTTATGGACCTAACAGGTATCTAAAGCCATTTGCACGCAACAAAATATGTATTTTATCAAAGTAATTGTTGATCCCTTATTTTGGCTGCTGATCCCTTATTTTTGAGGCTGCTGGTTCCTTATTTTCAAATCTGTAAGTTGACAGCTATGGCCATATGTTGCACCAAGAGGTGTGTGTGCAAGAGAGAGATAGAGAGGGAGAGAGAAGCTACCCAGACCCATTTTCTCTGCCCAGCATGGAGTTCATATAGCAAAATCACCTTTCTCCTTGCTGGTAGTATTGGTGGAGCTGTGGACACTCTGGCAGTTCTGCCACTCCATGAAATCCTTCTGTTGCCCAGCTGGAGCTAAAACTGGGCACTGAGTTGTTAGCTGTCTGCGTGTTGCTGGCTGTTCCCTCATGTTTGACTTGCTCACAGACCTTGCCACGCAAATCCCAGGAGTCATCTTCCACTCTCTCCTGCCCCCCCCATCTCCTGTTTAAGTATGCTGTCTGGCTTCCAATCTTCTTTTGGATTAAATAAAGATAGACTCTTGAGCTTCTTATCTTTGATAGGAATGATGTTTATAAGAACAAAAAAGAGGGGGGGATACAGTGTGTGGACTGGACTTGAAACAGCAAAGTAATTTTTGGTGAGGGGGGGGAGTAGAGGGGCAGGAGAGATGGACGATGTAACCTGTTTCAATTTGTGTTTCGAATGTTTGGAGTTGACATTCGTTCAGAGCTGACATGATTACAAATTTCAAGTTTTAATCATTCTTGGCTAAGAGCCAGGCTTGGAGTGGAAAGTTCATCTGAGGAGCCACACTTGGAACAAAAAGAAAACTTGGAAAGAGCATCCCAATTAAGACAGAAGGCACTAATTGAATAATTGGCGTCATTAATTTATTAACTGCAGATTAACAATGTAGATTTTAATCAGACTTTTAATTGGAGCCACCCCATGTAAAAGGATTTTTGGGTGTGCGTGCTGATGGCATTGATTTATAACCATCTGCACAGCCCAGAGCCTCATGGGTGCTCCATTGCAAAGGATAGACTTCCTCTCTTAAAATGCATAGGAGAAAACATAGGAATTTGCCTTGTAGCAAGTCATATTATTAGTGCATCTCGTTCAGCAGTGTAAAAATTGACCAGGGTAAGCTCTCCAGACTTTCAGACATGAGTCTTTCCTAGCCCTATGTGGAGAAACCAGGATTTGAACCTGGGACCCTTTGCATGCAAAACACATGCTCTCCCACTGAGCTATGATCCTTCCTGGGTGGAATGTGTGTGCATGCCTGCGCTCCCAACCTTGTGCAAAAAAACAAAACAGGGGAAGGGCATAGAACAGTTTAAAGTAGGGGCAATGAATCTGTGGCCCTCCAGATGTTTTTGGACAACCCCTCCCATAATCCCTGTCTATTGGCTGTGCTGGCTGGGGGCAATGGGAGAGTCAGAGTCCAACAACATCCCCAAACTCGGCCCTCCCCAAACTCGGCCCTCCAGGTGTTTTGAGACTACAATTCCCATCATCCCTAGCTAACAGGACCAGTGGCCAGGGATGATGGGAGTTGTAGTCCCAAAACTTCTGGAGGGCCGAGTTTGGGGATGCCTGATCTAGAGGGTCACAGGTTCCTCATCTCTTTCTCTCTCTAAAAAAAAGAACACATAAAATTTGGTCTTCCTTTACCTACTTCTATGATGCTACATCAGACAAATTAGTTCTGGATCCTGGAAGAGTCTGGGAGATGCCAGAGACGGAACCTGGAATCTTCTGCATGCAAGACAAATGCTTTACCACTGAGCTACAGCCTTTCCCCAAAAATAATTAAATCAGTCCAGACAAATTAATCAAAACAATCATGGAAGAATTACACTGCTCCAAAAATCAAACAAAAAACCCCACCAAAAACCAACATAAAACAAAGTTTTAGACTCTCCAAACCTTGGTGAAAACTTGACACCAGTCAAGCTTGCAAAAATCTATCATTTGTCCGATAATAAATGTTGGAAATGTAAGGAAAACAAAGGTACATTCTTTCACCTTTGGTGGACGTGCCCAAAGATCAAGGCTTTCTAGGAGATGATCTATAATGAACTGAAAAAGGTATTTAAATATACCTTTCTAAAGAAACCAGAGGCCTTCCTGTTGGGCATAGTCGGCCAATTGGTGCCAAAGAAGGATAGGACTTTCTTTATGTATGCCACAACAGCAGCAAGAATACTTATTGCAAAGTATTGGAAGACACAAGATCTACCCACCTTGGAAGAATGGCAGATGAAGGTGATGGACTATATGGAACTGGCAGAAATGACTGGCAGAATCCGAGACCAGGGAGAAGAGTCAGTGGAAGAAGATTGGAAAAAGTTTAAAGACTATTTACAGAAATATTGTAAAATTAATGAATGTTAGAATGATGTTGGATAGAAACTAAGTGGTTTCTAGCTGTAATGTTATAAGGGAATATGAAAAAATGGACTATTAATAGGTAAAAATCTAATGTTACAATACTTTAAGATTGAAGATTAGGATAAACAAAGGGGGGAGGGATTTGCTGAACTAACAAACTGAATTGGAATACAGAAAAGGGAGGTGTGAGGAGGTCCGGGAAAATAAGCAAATGAAAGATAAGTGATTGAAAAACTGAATTGTTTTTAACTATTTTTATTTTGTATTTTTCTTTTTTCTTTTTTTGTAATATTTTGAAAATCTTAATAAATATCTTTAAAAAAAAAAAAACAAACCTTGGTGAAAATCATGACTGGAAGAAGACAAAGAGAACAGAGGTACTTTCCCTATGCAAATTCCTAACTCAAAACAGTACTCAGAACAAAAGGCAGCAGCATTCGGAAGTCAGAAGCAAACTGGGAGATGCAGTTGAAAATGATGGTGCCGCCATGGGCTTCCTCTGTTGTGCCTGTTTTTTCACTTGAAGTGACAGCTCAAGTGTGAATGACCCAGTCACGCTTCAAAGGCTGCAGTTGCAACTTGCGTTCTCACCTGCCACCACCTCAAACACAATCCCTTTTAATGAAATAGGGTCAAGCAGCTGTGACCCATCCTAGTTGTGTATCACAGTTCTTGTCGCTGCTGCAAAATCCAGCTCACCTCTTCTGCTCAAAGAACACCTGGAGCAGCATGTGGCTAGCCTTGCAAATCAACCTGCAAAGGTGACTAGTCTGTAAGCATCTTTGCCAGCCTGCTAAGAGGGTGGCGCTGTGGGTTAAACCACAGAGCCTAGGACTTGCCGATCAGAAGGTCGGCGGTTCAAATCCCCGCGATGGAGTGAGCTCCCATTGCTCGGTCCCTGCTCCTGTCAACCTAGTAGTTCAAAAGCATGTCAAAGTGCAAGTAGATAAATAGGTACCGCTCCGGCGGGAAGGTAAACGGCATTTCCGTGCGCTGCTCTGGTTCGCCAGAAGCAGCTTAGTCATGCTGGCCACATGATCCGGAAGGTGTACGCCGGCTCCCTCGGCCAATAAAGCAAGATGAGCGCCACAACCCCAGAGTCGGCCATGACTGGACCTAATGGTCAGAGATCCCTTTACCCATTACAGTGGTACCTCGCAAGACGAATGCCTCGCAAGACAAAAAACTCGCTAGACGAAAGGGTTTTTTGTTTTTTGAGCTGCTTCGCAAGACGATTTTCCCTATGGGCTTGCTTCGCAAGACAGAAACGTCTTGCAAGTTTGTTTCCTTTTTCTTAACACCGTTAATACAGTTGCGACTTGACTTCGAGGAGCAACTCATAGAACGCGGTGTGGTAGCCTTTTTTGAGGTTTTTAAAGACTTTGGTGATTTTTGAAGCTTTTCCAAAACTTTCCCGACACCGTGCTTCGCAAGACAAAAAAAATTGCAAGACGACAAAACTCGCGGAACGAATTAATTTCATTTTGCGAGGCACCACTGTACCTTAAGAGGGTAGAAGGCTGTGTTTCCATGCTAGAGGAGGGAAAGCTCCCTCTTCTTTGTCCACTATGGAAACGAAGGATGAAGGATGAATGCATTCGGTATTTGCTTTTTGCAGCCGATGACCCCTGTCTCACATGCCCAAACTAACTCGCATATGGGAGTGCAACTGCCAGGTAGTGTCACGCACGTCTCTGGATTTTTTGATACACTTTCAGGGCACATCAAAATGCACTCAAAATGCATGTTTTATGGAAGAATGCATTGAAAAGTACATGTTTTGCACAAAAGTGCATGTTTACATATAAAAAGTGCATATAGAAAATGAACAGTGTAAATGTTGCCATTTTGTACAATCTTTCACAAAATGGGATGGAAAGGACCCGTGATTGAGCCCCAGTGAGACTTGAAATAGGATGGAATTAAGCTGTTCAGTTCATGTCTAAGGGCAGGGATGGGAAATCCATGATCCAGATGTGGATGGATTCCATTTCTTATCCAGCCAACATGGCTAATAAGAGATTATGGGAGTTGTGGTCCCATAACATCCTGAGGATAACATGCTGGGAAAGGTTGAGCTAGAAAGTTGAAGGTTAGTTGGACAGGGGTGTTAATTTCCCCATTCCACATCTGAAGCTCAAAAAATATTCTCATCTGGTGGTTGTTGTTTTTTGGGTGGGGTGGGTAGGGCAGCAGTATGAGAAGCTTCTGCCTCTTTTAATCCTGGACTTCAAAAAGATATTTCAAGGCAGCCCAGCTGACTCACCCTTCAAGGTGCTCTGTCCCCTGGAAGCACACATCTATCCTGTTAGGCACGGCCACATTTCAATTCATGCTCAATGTCTCACAGACTCTAATGGGAGTTATTGGCCTCAGCTGAGTAACTGGCACTTCCGACCCCAAAGTCAAGTAGAATTGAAAACATATTGACCTTTACTGCTGGCCCAGTGCCTCATTACAGCACATACACATTGCATTACATTAACGAGCTTTTTGAACAAACGCCATTGCTTGTGGTCCTCAGCCCACAAGAGCACAGTGGGTTGAAGAACAAAGAACTTGGCCATTAAGGAAGACTAGAATGGCATCTGGGCTGTACCAAGTCAGTGACTGAATGGCAACTAGCCTAAGCTGTGCCCCTGAACACAGTAATTATTTGAAATGCACATTTTTCTGAATTTTGCAATGCAGTTCTCCAACACACACACACACACACACCCCATGTGCACACAAATGCTGGTAAAAAACCATACATAAGGGGAAAGGGCATACAATAATGTATATATCACTGAAAATAATGGACATAAAAGCAATGGCTGTTAGTCCATGCGGCTGTAGTTACCTCCAGGATCAGAGCCACCATGACTCTGAAAATCAGTTGCTGGGGAGCATGCTCTTGTATTCATGTCGCATTGGTAGGATTCCCATGGGCATCTGGTTGGACACGGTGAGTACACAGTGCTGGACGAGTTGTGCCCTTGGTCTGATCCAGTGGGACTCTTAAGTTCCCTAGAATATGTGGAGCTAGAAACCCTACCCTGTGTACTGCCTACTCAATTGCAGTTGCTTCCAGACCTTTGCTGAAGCAACTTCCTAATCTGTTGCATTTCAGCACCAATATCCAGTCTGAATTTCCCCAGCTTGGAGCTGTCCATGGTCCTATCTCCTTCCTGGTTCCTCCTGCAGCCAAGCAGCATGGACATACATGGGTATACCAGGGCGAAGTGTCCATCAAGTGCCCATCAAAATTCATATATTAGTGAAAATAACACAAAAAATGCATCACATTAGAGGAAATAACTTTGCAAAAAATGCAAACAAACAAAAATGCTAATGGATTTTCAGGAGGGGTTTTTAAATATAGATGATAGATTAGAGATAGATAGATGACAGATTATAGATAGATAGATAGATAGATAGATAGATAGATAGATAGATATAGACCTCAAATGGATTTGGAGAACAGAACTTAAAGATTGGGAAATAAGAAACTGGGAGAAATTGAACTTGACAAGTTTTCCCATCCCTACATTTCACCAACACTGTGATTGCTTCACAAGCCCCCCGACATTATCATCATCATCATTAGTAATTGGGACTGTAAGCTACAATCAGTTTAATTAGTAGACTTTTTTTTAAAAAAAATATTTCCATCAGCTAATTGCTGGAGTCAATTTAGTTGTTGAAGGCTAATTTTAATTGACAAGGCCTCCACTTCATGGAGCTCACCTGCTTGTTTTTGGGATGTCTCAGTTCTGATGAATTACTTTAGGAACACAGGAAGCTTCCTGAGACTAGGGCAGCCTGTTTCTCCCAGAAACACCATCTAATTTTTGTCCATCTAGTGCAGTGATGGAGAAAGCTGTGGCCCTCCAAATACTGCTGTGCTCCCACCCCAATCAAACCTGACAATTGGCCGTACTGGCTGGGGCACATCTGGAGGGCCACAGCTTCCCCATCCCTGATCTAGTGATCTAGTGATCTAGTGATCTAGTGATCTAGTGATCTAGCTCTAGGGCACAGCTTTCCAGACCGTGTGTCATGACACATTAGTGTGTTGGCCGTAGGTTCCCTGTGCTCTTCCTGGGACTGGAAAGGGGTTAGTTTAACTTCCAGTTTGCTAGTAAAACTGAATTACTGTGTCGTGAAATGATGAAATGATGCATGTCTAAAAAGTGTGTCACCAACATGAAAAGTTTGGAAAGCTCTGCTCTGGGGTATCAGGCACAGGTTCACTTGCTGGTCACCTGCTGCCTGATCCTTTTAATTAAGAGTACAAAGAAGAGCCCTGCTGGCTCAGGTCCATGGCCCATTCAACATTCTGTTTTCACAGATGCTTAGAGGAAGCCTACAAGTTTCCCCACTGCTATTCTAGGCAACTGGTATTCAGGGAGCATCCTGC